GAATAAGGAAGACCGAAGAAGAGTTGATGCTTTTGAGTTGTGGTGCTGGCAAAGAATGCTGAAAGTACCATGGACTGCTAAAAGAACTAACAGATCTGTCTTTGAGGAAGTGCACCCGAAATGCTCCTTGGAAGCGAGAATGGCCAGACTTCGTCTCACCTATTTTGGTCATGTTGTCAGAAGGGACCATTCCCTGCAGAAGGATGTCATGCTTGGTAGGGTGGAGGGTGGACAAAAGAGGGGGATGCCTTCAACTAGATGGATTGACACAGTGGCTGCGATGATGGGCTCAAGTATAGCAGGCTGGCATGTTGCCATGATGCTGAACAGGTTTCAACAGAGCTTCCAGACTAAGACAGACTGAAAATCAGCCAAAGAAAACCCTCAGATCACAATGATCTGACCTGCAACTGATCACGGCAAAGATGCAGGACTGAGCAATGTTTTTTCCATTCTGCATGGGGTCACCATGAGGCAGGAGGCAAATAGCAGCCAACACCACCACCATGGACTGGAGTAAAGGCAAAGGCTTAACAGAGCCTTGAATTCTGCCTGGATGGAAGGGCCTAGAAGGGCTTTTCCAGACATCTGAATAGAAAGGATGGTGGAAGCTATGAGGATGATGGAGTCCTCTGAAGGAACAAGTTTAGAGAAGAAGAGCAGAAGTCCCAAGACCAAGCCTGGGGTTATTAGGAAAAGCCAGTGAAGGAAATGACTTGTGGTCCCAGAGGGAGAAGGAAAACCAGGAAGATCCATAATGGGGAGGCACAGTGTTAAATAGAAAGGGTTAATAATGTCAAATGCTGCACTGAAGTCAAGGGGATTTAACATAAAAATGCCACCCGGTCATTCTCATCATCTTTGCTATGTTTTAGCTCATTATTGTAGTCAATGTTCAATCCACCTTGTTCAGGGTCTTCCTTTTTACATACCCTCTACCAAGCATGAAGTCCTTCTTCAGGGATTGGTTCCTCCTGCCTACATGTTCAAAGTAAATGAGATAAAGTCCACTCCCATTCTCACTTCTAAGGAGCACTGTAATAGATATCACTAAATAAAAAACAAAACCAGACACACTGCCATCGAGTCAGATCCGACTCACAGCTACTCCTCCTTGGGTTTCTGAGGCAGTATCACTACGGAAGTAGTTTGCCCAACCTTCCTTCCGAGGGGTGGCTGGTGGGTTTGAACCACCAGCCTTCTGGTTAGCAGTCTAATGCCTTAGGCACTAGGCCACCAGAGCTCCTAATCACTAAATAGTACATAAGAAAAATGTGGAACTGACAGACTTGTTGAACATGTTTTTACAATTTTTTAAAGAGCTTAAACAACAACAACAAATCATCACATGCTGTGATCACATTGACCCAGTGGCCTCTCAGAAAGGGTTTTTAGAAAAGCAATGGGAACTGAAGCCATATCTCCAGGATTAGGGAAAGTAAGCATTCTAGGGCAGGAGTGGGGAACGCAGTGTGTACACACCTGCCTGCTGCTCCTTAATCTCTAAATTCTCCATTAGGCGGAGGCTTAGGGTTGCCAGATAACATGCATACAATATTTTGCAACATACTTAACCAAAAAGATTGTTCATTGTTTATCTGTAATTTAAATTAACTGGGTGCCTTATGTTTTTATTTGTTAAATTTGGCGTACTGCCCGAGGCATTTGACTGCCAACCAGAAGGCTGGCAGTTCAAACCCACCAGCCACTCCTCGGAAGGAAGGTTGGGCAATCTACTTCTGTAGTGATAGTGCCTCGGAAACCCAAGGAGGGGTTGCTATGAGTCGGATTCAACTTGATGGATGGCAGTGGGTTTGGTGTTTTGCTTTTTTAAGGAGGCTGAACCTTTGAACAAGAGTTTGGGCTTATCTCAGCCTTGTAAACTGAGACTTTGCCTCTGGCCACTCCCACTAGCCCCCTGCCATTTGGTGGGAGGGGAACCCCAACACAGCAAAATCCAGAGGGTGAACCCAGGAGATCCAAGGCAGGAGATGGCAGAATGTTTAACTGCACTGCTTTCAAGTCAAAAACCAGATGTAGTCCTTTCTACAAAGGGACTTAGTTGATTTAATGTCTCCCCTGGCAAGTCTGGCACCATGAAAATCACTAGAATAATCACCTGCTTCCCAGAGCCTGCTCTCTCATCTGGAAATGAGGCCACATCTATGGGATGAGAACAGCAAGAGATTTCTATGTATTTCTCATGTGGATTTTTACAAGCATGTGGTACTTTAATAATCAGCAAAAGGCAATAAAGACACTTCCATTTGGCTGCAGTGGACCAGATAATCTGTGAGGCCTCCTCTAGAGCTAAGATTCTGCAATTCTAAGTAATTTCCTGTTCTTTATTTGCACGTCATTTTAGGAGCATTCAGTGACACAGCATTATTGTGGTTTGTTATTTTACTTTTATTCCCTAGAGGATTCTGAACCCAGCACTCACCATTCTTGCTGGCGGGCTCTGAATGTTGTCTATCAGCCACAGAACACTATCTTCCCACTGCCCCCCCTCAGAAGTCACAGGGTTTGGTCTGCCCTGGCCCAAGTCTCAAGGCTCCACATTCAGCCCCAATCCAGACCTGGGCTCATCCCTGATCAACAGAGTACCCAGATGATCTGTTTGGAAGTCAAGGAAAGAGGTTGGGTATTGGCTCTGGGAAAACCCAAGATGCTGAGTCTCCTTGCTCCACATCAGAGCGGTCCCAGGATTCTAGGGAGCTGTGGCTTAACAAATTCTGAAAGGTGGAGTTGTGTTCCCATACCTGGTAACAAGTGTCTCTCCCAGTATACCCGAACCCCTCCCCATCAAGGGCCATGCCCCTCCCCATTAGGCCAAGGGCTTCCAGGGGAGGATGAAGATTGCCCCATCCAAAAGTGGCATGTTCCTGTTCAAGGACTCATAGGGCTCAGGGGTCTCCCACACTGAGTGGAGCCTTGGGGACCAGTCCTGTGACTTTGGGTAAATCACTTAACTAAATCTGAGCTGTCCTAAGGATCAAATGAGATAATGAATGCAAAACACCTAAGATGTGCCAAGAACACACCAGAAGCTTACAAACAGCACTGTTACCTATTTAATCCTCAAACAGCCCGGGAGGCTGCCCTTTGACTCAAAGGTGCTTTCCACTCACAACTCCCACAGACCCAGAGCTGCTCTGAAAGGTTCCTCAACCCTCCAAGAGTTCCCTGCTTCAGTCCAGGCAAGGGACACTGCCAGCTGCTAGAGCAGTGGCTGGTCTCCCAGCTCAGGCACAGACAGCCGCCTGGCCCACGACCTTGGAGAACCTGGGAGAAGCTTCACAGTACTTTTCCACAGCACTGCTTGGCCACCTCAGCTGCCTTTCTACTGTGCATACAGGAGGCAAAGCGTGCCAGGCCCTAAAGCCTCAAACTTGCCCACCCCATCAGGAGCCCACCCAAAATCATTCTCAGAGATGGGGGCGGGGGTGGGCAAGGGTATATTATAGGTGAGGGGCCACAAGAATCCTAAAGAGAGAGGAAGGAGATCCCGAGTGCGCCAAGGGGCGATTAAAGACCCCCAGTGAGGCTGGAGAAATTTGCATTGGCAAAGTCCTCCGGAACATTTCAGGAGACTCCTACGCCCTTAACGCCTGCTCCTCCACCCTCACCCCGCCTCAAAAAAGAAAAATAATAATAATATTAAACCCGTTCCACAGCGCCTGTGCTGGGTCCCGGGTGAGGAGCAGAGCTAGCCTGCGCGAGGGAGGGGGCAGAGGAGGGCGAGGGGAGGAACAAGAGAGCTAGCGGTCCCGCCCGGTGATGTAGGCAGCCGGGGGAGGGGGAGTCGCGACGCCTGAAGGAGTCCCCAACACAGCCGCGCGCTCTCGGTCTATTCCACCGAGCGGCCGCCAGCCCCGGCTCCCGCCCTGCCGCCGAAATCCGGGCGGCGGGGACCGCGGGATCCCCCCTGTTTGGGCCTGGGGGGCGCCTCCATTACCCCCAACCCCTGCCTGTCCTAGCTTCCTGCACAACTGGAGCGACTCCCGGGAAAAGCTGTTGCCGGCCGAGCGGCCGCCGCCCGGGTATCTCGGCTGCTAGCCGCCTGGGCACCGGGCATCTGCGAAGCCATCCCCGCCTGGCACTGGGCATCTCCGGGCACCGACTGTCTGCGGCGCCTCCCAGCTTCTCGCGACCCCCAGGCTGCGGTCTTCTGAGCGCCCTCCCCTCCCCGGAGCAAGACGCCCGTGAAGCCCTCGCGCACCCAGCCCCTTCGGCCGCCACCGCCGCGATGCTGCCCTGGAGACGAAACAAATTTGTGCTTGTGGAGGACGAGGCCAAGTGCAAGGCGAAAAGCCTGAGCCCGGGGCTCGCCTACACGTCGCTGCTCTCCAGCTTCCTGCGCTCCTGTCCGGACCTGCTGCCCGACTGGCCGCTTGAACGCCTGGGCCGCGTGTTCCGCAGCCGGCGCCAGAAAGTGGAGCTCAACAAGGAGGACCCGACCTACACCGTGTGGTACTTGGGCAACGCCGTCACCCTGCACGCCAAGGGCGAGGGCTGCACCGACGACGCCGTGGGCAAAATCTGGGCGCGCTGCGGGCCGGGCGGGGGTACCAAAATGAAGCTGACGATGGGGCCTCACGGCATCCGCATGCAGCCGTGCGAACGCGGCGCCTCGGGGGGCTCCGGAGCCCGGAGGCCGGCGCACGCCTACCTGCTGCCGCGCATAACCTATTGCACGGCGGATGGACGCTACCCCCGGGTCTTCGCCTGGGTGTACCGCCACCAGGCGCGCCACAAGGCTGTGGTACTGCGCTGTCACGCCGTGCTGCTGGCGCGGGCGCACAAGGCGCGCACCCTGGCCCGCCTGCTCCGCCAGACCGCGCTGGCGGCCTTCAGCGACTTCAAGCGCCTGCAGCGCCAGAGCGACGCACGCCACGTGCGCCAGCAGCACCTCCGCGCCGGGGGCGCAGCCTCTTCTGTGCCCCGCGCCCCATTGCGTCGCCTGCTCAACGCCAAGTGCGCCTACCGGCCGCCGCCAGCCGAGCGAGGCCGCGGGGCGCCGCGTCTCAGTAGTATTCAGGAGGAGGACGAGGAAGAGGATGAGGAGGCTCAGGAGCGCGAGGGAGGAGCCCCTCAGCGAGAGCGGTCGGAGGTGCTCAGCCTGGCCAGGGAGCTGAGGACGTGCAGCCTGCGGGGTGCCCCGGCTCCTCCACCATCCACGCAGCCCCGCCGCTGGAGGGCCGGCTCCAGGGAGCGGTCGGGTCAGGCACGCTGAGAGCCGAGGAGGCAGGATTAGCGGCCCCGGACCTGGCCAGCCAGACTTTTAGCCTCCAACCCCAGCCTCGCTTCGGCTCCCCCCGGCTCCCCGCAACCCTAGTCCCCATTGTGGTCTCTGTTGTTGTCCGCACCGCCAGCGCGCCCCATTCGGCAAGGTTCCTGCTGCCCCGCCTCATCCTGGCTCAGGGTGGCACTTTATAAGTCCTTGATTACTGGTGGTGGGGGAAGAAGAGGGCAGTGTTGAGAGTTCACCCCTCTCCCCATCCGGAGTTTCCTCTGGCCCTCCAACGGGGGCCTGCCTCCTAGCTTTACACCAAGTCTCTGCCCACAGACCACCCCATTCCCTCCCAAAACATCTTCTGATGAGAAGGGGTGAGAAGTTTCCAGAAATCCAGGGGGAGAGCTTGGACCCTGGCCCAGATGGACCCTGCCCTTGGTCCCCCAGCCTCTCCCACTGGGATGAGAGTGACCCTTCCTTGGATAAGAGGCATTCTTGAATGGAAAGAATCAAGTGGCCCTGAAGAATTGAGGCCCAGCCCATTCTGAGAACTACAGAGTTTCCCACCATACAGACAGGAAAGCAGTAGGCACTAAGCCTGGCCTCTCTACCCCTTGGAAGATTGTGGCTTCACTGCTCTGCCTTTGGAGGTGCTGGGATGGTCTTACCATCGTTCAGAAGACCAGGTTAAAGCCAGGTAACAGCTCTTTAACCAGGCAGCTGTCCAAGCCTCTGTCTTCCCAACTAGCACTTTGCAACCCCATGGGACTCCTCACTTATCCCATCTTTCTGCAAACAGATGTGTGTGGTCCCTCACTAGGTGGCCCACAACCAGGACCAAGACATGACCTCTGAAGGAGGTAAGGAGAACCTTTGGCAGGTGCATAAGGCACTGATTACCCAGAAATCACATGCCCCCAAGTCAAGGCTTGCCAAAGCAGGAGGGCCCTAGCAGCTGGATCCTCATAGGAGGAAGGAGGATGTGTTAACCCAGCAGAGGTACTGGGGCCCTCCCAGGTGTGTCTCAACAAGGCCACACAAAGCCCAAAGATCTATGTGTCACCAACTGATCATTGTAAATAAAGTAGACCTGCCTTTTCAGCCCTGTCACCATTCCTGTGTTGTGTTTGATGCCAGGCTTGAGGGCCTGGATGGGCAACTAAACCCATCTGGGGGTGAAAAGATTGTCATCAGAACCCAAAAAGGCAGAAGACCCCAGAAAATGGCTCTTTTTAATAGCCAGAGCCAACTATTAGGATAAGAGTGGTTCCAGGAAGCTGTCCCCTGAATGTCAGAAGAGGCAGCCATAGCATATGCCTCATTGAAAATCGTATGCATTGCCAAGCCCTGCTCGGACTGCTTCAGGCTCCCTGAATGTCTGTATAGGCGACACTCACATGCAGGTGTTTCTGGGACCTTTGGCAGGGAGAGGGTACTGAGTGGGGCATCTCATGAGCCATGCATCTCTGAGTAGTTTCATGGATGTGTCAAAGCATGTGGCATAGACCGTGTGTCCCCTCAGGGATGAAAGAGAGGCAGGCTATAAAGGAGAGGTTTCTTTCAAAGGAACTGGAGAAATCTATGCAGACCTTTATGACTGAGTCTTGAGCTCCAATATCTTCTGTATTCATTTGCTGAGCTGGGCACTGATCCCAGACTTATCCAGACATAAGGCCTCTGCAATCACCAGCGATCACAATTGTTCTGTTTCCCGGAGCTGCCAAAACAGCAGGGCCAGGGGTCTTGTAGGGGGAATGCTAGGGTCAACACCACATAGCATAGTCCTCATTAGAGGACCCACTGGGCAAGGGGAAACCTGCATGCTCACAGCTCCCCCTCTTACACGTTGCCAGGTGGTTTATTGGTGTTTATCCTTGTTTGCAGAAGGAAAGTGGGAAGTGGGAAGATACCAGACTTAGGGGAGGTGGGTGGGCTGCAAATCAGTTTCTATGGTACATAGCTGAGACAGCCTCACCCAGAACCAAGGTCACAGGCATGCCTCCTTGGATCCTTTCATGCAGCGGATAATTATGAAGCTCCTGCAGTGTGACAGTCACTGTCCTAGGCACAGGGGTACAACAATCCCTCCCTTGTGGATCTTACATTCAAGTGAGATGCATATAATTAAAGGAGAAGTTACTGTGTAATAATTCACAGGCATGCCCACAGCCTCACCCCTAATCCTTCTCTAGCATTTTCACAAAATGTAGACACACACACACACACACTGACATACACATGCACACACACAGATACACACATACACACGTACAGCCTTCCTCTTTGCTGACGCACACTATTATGCCTCTAGACCTGGAGTAGAAAACCTGGCTGAGAGAACTCTCTCTGCCTCTTACCAGCTGTGTGATATTGGGCAAGTCCTTTAGCCTCTTGGAGTCTCACTTATATTAACCGCAAGACAGGAATCATAATATCCACTTCACAGGGTGATTGTGAGAACTAAACAGAATCATGTCTGTGAAAAACGCTGTGGTAACTAATAAAATGCCCAGGATATATGTGAAGAACACCCATTTTCCAGCAGGGCTGGAAGAGGTCTAACTGTTGTCACAGGATTTCCATGCTCCTTCCAGTCCTCCACCCTCCCTGGGAGAGTAAGGCTGGCCCACCTCTGGTCACAAGCTGTTGACTGGCCTCAGCTCCATTTTCTATGTGAATGGCAAGGGAGGACCTGGCCCAACTTCCCTGTCCAGTGGGTTGTGGGTGAGATAAGCCACAGGCAAGACAAACCAGCAATAGCTTCCAACAGGCCCCTGAGTGGGGTGTTGGGGCTCCTCCAGTCACCAGACCTGGGGACAAATTACTACCCCAGGGAGGGAGGGATGTGTCCTGGGGCGCCACACCCACCTTCACCTCTGTACCTACTTTGCCTTCTCCTCTGACCCTAGGCACAAGGTAGAGCCCTGACCAGTGATTAGGCCATCTGGCCACCCCTGCATCTCATTCCCAGGCATCAGATTCCTCACCCCTAAAGTGAGAGTGGACGAGGGGTGGATCAGAGGTTTTCAAATCCTGTTCCTCCTAGTCCTAGTTTTCTGGAGTGCCCTAGGAGCTGCTGTGGGGAGAGATGGGGAGATGGAGTGGGGAGGCCCTCACCTAGCTTTAACTGAAACAACGCATCTGTTTTCTATTCAGGGTTTCCATGATTCCATTTGAATAATGGGATTTGTCATGGATTGAATTGTGTCCCTCAAAAAATACATGTCAGCTTGGCTGGGCCATGATTCTCAGTGATTTAGCAGTAATGTAATGATGTGATTATCCCCCACGATATGCTCTGATGTGATCAGCCAATCACATCAGATCAGTAAAGGGATTAGAGAGGGATGCAACACCCTTACTGAGGTTATAGTCCAGATCTAATGAAGGGAGTTTCCCTGGGGTGTGGCCTATGTCACCTTGTTTTATCTTGTAAGAGAAGAGAAAGAAAGGGACCTGACTACCACCAGGAAAGAAGAGCCAAGAACAGAGTGCATCCTTTGGACCTGGGGTCCCTGTGCTGAGAGCTTCCTAGGCCCACGGGAAGACTGATGCCAAGACACATGGAGATCTCCAAGGCACATCAGACCCACAGACACTGGAAGGAGACAAGGACCTTCCTCCAAAGCCAACAGAGAGAAAGCCTTTGCCTAGAGCTGGCAGTCTGAATTTGTACTTCTAGCCTCCTAAACTATGAGAGAATAAATTTCTGTTAGTTAAGGCCATCCACTTGTGGTATTTTTGTTATAGCAGCACTAGATAACTAAGATAGGATTCTGCAGATTATACTTTTAAAGTAGAAATCACTGGATGAGATGGTCACTCACATTCCCTTCCAGCCCTAGTGCTTTCTGTGTCTAAGGTCTGGATGGGCCAACTAGGCCTCAGAAGGAATAGAATGGGTAAGGGATTCTCAGATATGGCAAGGGAGGGGTTTCCAGAGCAACAGGCAGCCAAGGACAGTGAGGGGAATGTGTCTTTGGGGCCAGCAACTCAGGGATCATCATCTTCCAGGGCTTTCTGGGGCCTTATTTCCATCTCTCATCCCACCCCAACATGGCTGGGCTGTGACCAATGAGATGTAACATCACAGCACATACCTCACAAGATGAAGTCAGCTGGCCTAGCCTGCCAATGCCATCCTTATTCTGCACTGCTCATCTTCCATCGGCAACTTTGCCATGTGCTCCCTGTTTCCCATATGTCACCCATGAGTTCCCAGTTCTACCTGGAATGCTATCTTCTTTGGCTACACATTTTCAAGCCCCTGCCCAGCCAATGCACCTCAAGTGCAGCCACCACTGTCTGTCGGTGGAGGTTTGTTCATTGCTGTGATGCTGAACAGGTTTCAGCAGAGCTTCCAGACTATGACAGACGGGGGAGAAAGGCCTGGTGATCTACTTCCAAAAATCAGCCAACGAAAATCCTATGGATCACAACACTCTGATCCCATTGTGCAGGTATCGAGGCTGACTTCACGGTAGCGAAACAACAAGAACCTTTTCTCGCAGGCCAGGCTCAATAGCCACCTCCTCCAAGCTTTCCTTAATGCACATTCCCTCTCCCACCTGCCTCCAAATCTGGGATGACCTCTCCACCTCAGACCCACATAGAACTTGGTCTCTGCTTCTCTGGTGGCCCTCATCTCATGAGACTAGGATCACTCTCCTTTGTATCAGTGTCTTTTCTCTCCTACTCACCATCTTACTTTCTTAGTGCTGCCGGACCAAAACTACCAGAGGTGAGTGGCTTTGAAAAAACAGACGTTTTCTCACAGTCCAGAAGGCTAGAAGTGGGTATTCAGGGCACCAACTCTAGGGGAAAACTCTGTCCTGTTGGCTCTGGGGGAAGGACCTTGTGTCTTTCAGCATGCCTCAGTTCCTTGGCCATCATCACGTGATGTGGCATCTGTCTTCCCCTTGTGTGTGCTGGCTTGTATGTCTCTGTGTCTATGCTGCTTTTATGTCACTTCGAAGCGATTAGGTTTAGGACACTCCCTATACTGATGTGGCTTCATTAACATAACATAGAGAACCCTGTTCCCAAATAGGATTACATCTGTAGGTATAAACCAAACCCAACCCTTTGCCATCAAATTGATCCTGACTCATAGCGCCCCCATGTGTTACAG